GCTCTTCCCTCTTCCCATTCCTTGGATGATTAAGAGGCCGGACATAATAGAAAAAGGCCAACTCTCAGCCTTGTGAGAGGGCCAAATATTTAGTCTGTCCTGAAAGACAATTAACTTGCCTGGTGCCATATAATTTCCATCTAGACTGCAGAGTGTGTATATTGTTGAGGGTGAGTATGGAGCTTGGCCAGAGAGACAATACAGAGTATTTATTTATCTACTTACGCTATGAGGAGAAGAGCTCTTGGCTCAAAAGATGGAACAGCAGCTGGAGCCTTAACACACTGCTGAAATGGGGCAGATTCTGCAGCTACTGAAATCACACCTTTCTTTGATGCAGTTAGATTTTCCCCATGTGCAACACTTGCAAGTGGGGTGTAGACAGATAAAACCCTTGAGTAGAGTATGGACACTATGTGCCAGTTCAGGTTGGGAATGGGTATTCTGAGTGAAGCCAAAAGGTAGGAATTTTTATTCTTCTTTAAAAGAGGCTGCAATATTATGACCATATTACTTCTCATAATCACCAGGTTGTCCCAATTTTGAATCTTGTAATAGTACACACACCCACTGCCTGGTCCCCAACATACTCTCAGACATTCATACCTTTTTCCTCTTCTTTGCCTTTACAGTTGTCTCTTGTTTTTCTTCAGGATGACTTAGAAAACACTCTGTAGGCTACAAAGCACATACAAAAAAAAAAAAAAAAAAAAAAAAAGATAAAAAGATTCAACATCAGATAACTGATCACATAGAGGGGATGGGAGGGGAAGTCATCAATGGGAAGTATAAAAGGGGGGATACAGAAATTATAACGCTGGATTAGAGGGGAAAAACCCCAAACCAAGCTTCCTCATGTGTAGAAGGGATCAAATTTTAACAGTTACATTTCTCTGGACTAATTTTGGAATTGGAATCTATGTTGTTGTAAGCAAGAAAGCAACAGAAGAAAAGAAAAAAAACACAGGTTGTAGTCCCACTTCCATGAAATGGTGAAAAGCAGGTTTTAATAAATAAATAAAAAAATCAAGGAAAACATGAATGAAACTTTTCAAAAACTTTATATTTTTAATCTTTATTACTACATGTGATCATTTTTCTAAACTTTGCCAATGGGGCTCTAAAATAACTGGGCCTAAGGTGAGCATGCAGAGGGTGAAAGATAATGGGCAAGAATAATTGGAAACAATCACGTTCTACATTTCTTTTGACATTTGTATTACAAAATTTTGGAAAATGTGTATCAGATTTGTTCTGCCCCAATCTTGCTTTGTCTCCTCATAGCAGGCAGGGTCAAATACACACAAGAAAAAATCCATGGTGCATTTCAGAATAATCTTCATCCAACACGTGCTGTTATTATTAACCCTCTTTTATGCCTGAGCAGGCAGGCTGAATTGGTTCATTTGTAAGAGAGTCCCTGTTCACATGATTCAGAATAAGGATTTCTCCTTAGCCACCTAAAATTGCCCAAAATAGAGGAAGTGAGTAACAGGTTTTCCCTGTTTTGACACAGCAATTCTCTTTTCTTTTGCTTTCTTAGGGACTTTCACTTAATGGCAGTGCAAATTAATCTACACACACAGGCTTTATAGCTTAGTAAGTGACTTGATGAAGAGCAATGGGAAAACAGGCTGAGCTGCAGGAAAAAGCTCCTTGATACTGGGATGCATTTGGCTGGAAAATCTGCTCCTATGAGAAACCATGGAGAAGTCTCATGACATGGAACATTAAAAGCTCAGGAAGAGAAAATCCAGTGCTGCTCCCTGGAGAAGGCCTGGGAAGAAAAGTATCAACAGGAAAGGGAGCTCAGCTGAAAGCCAGAGAAGCTGCCCTTCCACTCCCTTGTCAGGGCAGTTTCAAGAGGGCCAAGAGGACACAAAGGAAAGCTAATAGAAGTTCAGAATGTCTGAGCCCTTCTGAGCTCTCCCTGTACTGCCCTCCCCCTAACAGGAGGACACTTCATGATGACTGGTATGATTTACCTGCCTTTCCAAGTCCAATCTCAGATCCTGATCAGAAGCATTTTGTGGTGTTTAATTTTTCATATTATGCCTACATTTCCCTCTTTGTCCCGGCTCCCCTATCTAATTTAGCTACAAAAAACAGGATACCTCCCTGTTCAACACAAACAAATGACACACTGCTTGCTCCCTCTCTGCGTGCCATGGTGCAACCACAGCCCTTGCACTTGCAAAGGCAGTAGTACTGTACAGATGTGGCCCTGAATCTGCTTCAGGGTTTACATGATACATAGGAACTACCAGAGAAGATCTGGCTGGAGACTGTCTACAGGCAGCAAAGCACTCTACAACTAGGGCCAGCATATAGCGCAGCCTGGATCAAAACCCGCCCATAAGAAGTTGTGATAGGGAGTGTATCTTGCCTCAGCTACAGAGATCTGACCCCGTGATTTTCTCAGGTATAAAGAGAGAAAGGATATTACCTTCACTAGAAATCAACGGAATGACTGCAAGTAGAAACTCGCTGCACCTAACTGAATGTTCCAAGATTTTTTATTTTATTTTTGGTTTGTGTGTTTTGCTTCGGTTTGTTGCTTTTGGTTGTTTATTTTAAATTTCTGTCCTGACTCTGATACAAAGTGCTTTTAAAACACCATCACACATTTCTTCATTCTTATCCCTACCATTAGCATTCCCAGACACTGAGACTGAAACAGACCTACCCTCCACCTTCAGTTCGTGCACTATCCTTACACATCCCAGCTGTCCATAGATACTCAAAGACCACTTGCCAGGTGTTTTATTCATAAATTCCATGTTCAATATTTTCTGCAGAAAATAAGGTTTTGTATTGACTTCCATGGCTTCTTTCTGAAGGTCATATGTAACTCTTTCAACAGCAATGGAAGTACACCTCAGGCTTGTAGTCAAAACCTTGCTTCCTCAGAGAAGCAAGTAAGACTCAAAAATATCTCTTTTACAACAGAATATCTATATTTAGGCATAGCACGCTATTAGCCCAGAAATAAAAAGTCCACTTACAGGTAGTTGATGGTCTGCAGTCTAAAATATTTAGGCATCTGATCTAGACTGAACTTCTGACCCTTATCCAAATGTTAGTTGCCTCCTAGCTCTTTGCATGCCACCCTGAAGAGAAGGTCATTAGCATGTTTTTCTTATGCAAGACATAGAGCAGACAACTTACTGGTTTTTGACATGGCTCCCTTGAGTTCTGTGTTTGTAAGCTTTTTTTACATGGAAGTTCTTAAAATGCAGAAAACAGGAAATCTGTGCTGAGGCTATTGATTTATGAACTAAAATGTCATAAATTCCTTGTTTGTTAATCATAGACAGAACATAAAATATTCCCTGGACTATATATCTAACATTTTTTTTTCTTTACATGTTGACAAGCTACTGGAAATTCAAATGTAGAGTGAAAACATTCTTGTGTGCGTGTGAAAGTTTACATTCAAGGTCAGTCTTATACTCTGACTTTTGGAGTTTGTGACAAATTAAACACATCAATGTGCCTGCAGACTAGAAACATAAATCTTCACAAATCTATTTGGTTCTCTCCTGACTGGCTTTAAAGTGCCCAGTCCATTTCAGAATGGCTTCCAGCATATGAATAATAAAGCAGGGATGTGTAAAAGGGGTTATATTATAAGCACCAGAATGGCAAAACGACTACTTCCGATAAATACATCTAATTTTGCAAGTGTTTTGCTTGAAAATACATGCAATAGCACATCCATAACTTGGAGCTATGATAAAGCATTGCCTCCTGGAGTTTTGTGGCTAAACATCAAATTACCTGATTCCATAATTCAGACTGATATTCTTTGTATGACAGGAAGAGCTGTGACAGGACTTCTGTTACAGCTGAGCAGTCCCACTCTACCTTGGTACAATAACCTCTGTTGGTTACTCTTTCTAACATTCTCACAGAAAGAGCAAAGCAAGTCCTACAAACAAACTGTCTTCATTTAGTTCTAAATGCTTAAGTGAAGGCAAAGGCAAGAAAAAATAGCTCTATAAACATTCTCACCAAGCTAAAGTCCTCAGCATCTCACTCCCTAGTAGAGCATGTACAAACACAATACAGCTTTCTCCTTTATTGCTTGGCTCTCGGTTTCCTAATCAAAGTGTGGAACCAGTTCAGGTATTTGGCTCACTTCACCTTTGGTCTCCTTGAAAAGACACCTAAAAGCATAGTAATTGCTACTGTGCTGTTTACACTACTCTGTTACAAAGAATGTCCCTACAAATGGTTTTCACTTAGGCAAATGCCTAGGCATCACACAGTGAATTTATTATTGACCTAGAGGTCAAAACTAATATCCATAACTTCAAGGAGACAAGCTTCCAATGTCATTTTAGCTCTCTGACAGTCATTCAGTCTATTGTCCTGTATGGTACCAGGAAAGCAGAAGTAATTCACCTTCTAACAAGAGACTTCTTAAAAACAGCTGACCTCTCTACAGGACTTTGTTTTCCTCAAGTTGAGGTGATGCTGTCCTTCAAAGACCTTGCTGCCTTTTCTTGGCATACACCATGTAATGCTGGAAAACACTGTCCCTACTCGTTTTAAAGGAAACTTTTAGTGGTGAAAGGCTATGAAAACATCAATTGCTGGAAACCTAAATTCTTCTTCATTTGGACCTTGCACTCAGGACATGCTTGGGTAGAGATGCTGTACAACATTTAAATACAACTTGTGTGTGCAGGGAAATGGAGATGGTTACAGGGGAAATACTCAGTATTACCATCCAGGCTTTTATTGCTAGACAGTCATTTAGTAGGAGACAGGCCTGGTAATCTCACTCACAAAAAAACATCATTCAAAAATAAGGCAAAATAACTTAATAAAACACTCTTATTAAATTAAAAATCTGACAACGAGTGAAAAAACCTGTCCCTTTACTGAACAAAACAGGACTACATTTCCCTATGCAATATCCCTGTGCTCTACACAATCGCTAAAGTTACAAACCTGCTTTCTTTTCTTTTTCACAGCAGGCTTGGAATCTTGATTTGTTGTTGTCCTGTTATCACCCGTTTTCTCAATAGCTTCATCATCTGAAGGATCTAATATGAAAAAAAGAAGAGGTTTTGTTACTGTTTTTCAAATCCATCTCTTATCTTCATATTCAAAACAAGGGATAAAATCTTCAGCTGAAAGGTTGTCACAATAATACAATCTTAAGATTGGCAATAAGTACAGCTGCAATAATTTTTTTATCATACTGGTATTTGAGATTCATTCTACAAGAAGTCCCAGGTTTCCCCTTGTCTTCACAGTACTATGTCTGGCAGGCAATGTATTTCTTTATCTTTCTGGAATGCTGCACAGTGGGTGCCAGCTGCAGCATCACAGCTAGAAAGATCTGATCTTTCTAAAACCTCCCTTGAATTAAGCAAAGCAATGAAAAATGAAAGATGGTTTTGATAAACTACATCTCAAGTCACATGACATCTCTCCACATTATTTCAGACTAAGTAAAACATAGTCTTGGATCTGTAGTACTGCATTCACAGTATAAAATTACAGATTTCTCTCATTAGACCCCAAAACAAGCAATAGAACTGGTACTGAAGACTAATGGCACCGTGGTCCATAGGATCACTGTAAAAAAAATATCTTTCTTTCTAAGTTTACTGTCACTACTTTCAGAATAAGTAAACTCCTCCTACTAAATCAAGTCTTGAAGATGAAGAAAAAAATATCAAAACAAACACAACTAAAGATGCATACAAAAACCACCTCAGCCTCCACCTAAATGCCCCAAATGCCTTAGTAGTAACTTGCAGTTACCCAGCAGAGGAAAAATGCAAAGATTGGTATAATATCCTATTATATAAAAATATATGCAGACATTTCTCACAAGCACATTTTAATTGTGTGTCTCCTACTTCAGTAATGATTCGGCAAAGGCACGATTCCTAACATTTAAGCAGAATGTCCACAAAACTAAAACAGGCTTATGTTTTGAAACAAAACTATTTAAATCAAGGTGTTTCTATTCATTCTCTTCTTTATCTCTTTTATCTATAGAGACATGTCCGGGGAAAAATAAATACCCACAGTAACAGTTCCCCGTACTAGTGTTATATTAGTACTTAAGATGCTGTCTTTCTGTTGGGAACTGAATTACTCCCCTGATCATTAACAGAAGCATTATCATCCATTGAACTGAATAATTAGAACTGAGTAATTCTATTTCTGCATCTGGAATATTCCCGCCCAACTTAGTCGTTGTTGCAGTCTCTTGTATTCTGAAGTTGTAAATTGTCAGCTTCAAGATTAAGTTATTTATTTTGAATAAAGAGGTACAGTATGATTTCTTAAGCATCACCCCAAGTCTGGATGTTATAACTAATGCCACGCAAGCACAACCTGTAAGTAGAGTGAATTGATGGCCAGAGAACAAGAGAGAGACAGAAAATCATCTGTGGTTGTTATTTACTGATTACATGTTGAAATTGGTACCTATACAAATAAGTTAAGTACAAGATAATGAAAGGTATGTAAAAGAATTTAAGTGAAAGGTAAAAAAAAGATATGAAGGGGAAAAAAGTATCGTTATTCATCCACAATATCAACATTATATATGATAACGGTAATAAGGCAATGGCTTTGAAAATCCTAATGTGACAGAATGGGTAACAAAATGGATGCATATTTATGCCTGGAAAGATACTATATTGTAACTTCCACTCCTTTCTCCTCTTAGAAAAACTTGTGCAACAGTCAGCATTCTGAAGAGTTAAAAAAAGTCTGGGAAGTTGAAAGCTAGCAAGTGAAAAAAAAATGGTGAATGTTTTAGCAGGTTGAATGTTGTCTGTCAAGAAATCTTATATTCTTGGCAAACTACAAAAGCTTTAGAAACAAAGCAGCAACTGAGAAGAGAATTTATTTTTCTCTCCATTACAACTAAAAGACTCCTAAGTGAAGGGGTTTGATAAACCTGTTAATGAACTTAATTCAGACCAAAAGTCTCTAAGGTCACTGATCACTTACGTCCTTTGGCCACTCTGGAATCTCAGATATGATACTTCATTAGAAGAAGCTGAAAAACTACATCATCCAGCCTGCTTATGAAAGTTTAAAAGGTGTCTTGGTAATTTAGTGTTACCACTGTGCATTATGAAGGGCTTGTTTCTGTCTGTATCACCTTTCCTCTGGCAAATTACTCGTGCTGCATTTTGGTAAGGCAGTTCCTGTGTTTGAGAAGCCATCACTGACTTTTGCCTCTTATGCCTTCACTCCAGAGATACTGAAGGAATAATCAGTTTTTACACACACTGGCTCCACACACCCAGGGTCCTGGATGAACTACATCCATGCAGGCTGTGGAGCAATGATACAAATTAAGTATATCAAATAAATCAGAACTAATCACAAAATGGTTTGCGTTGGAAGGGACCTTAAAGATCATCTAGTTCCAGCCCCCCTGCCATAGGCAAGGACACCTCCCACTTGACCAGGTTGTTCAAAACCCCATCCAACCTGGCCTTGAACACTTCAGGGACGGAGCAGCCACAGCTTCTCTGGGCAACCTGTGCCAGTGCCTCACCATCTTCACAGTGAATAATTCCTTCCTAATGTCTAATCTAAAGCTATGTTATTTCAGCTTAAAACCATTATCTCACATCCTATCACTACAAACCCTTGTAAAAAGTCCCTCTCCAGCTTTCCAGTAGCCCCTTCAGGTACTGGAAGGCTGCTATAAGTTCTCCTTGGAGCCTTCTCTTTGTCCCTCTTCCTTGCCATGCTGGAGCACTAAACACCCATTTCAGAGTGTATCTGTTCATGCCTTACTGAATTGAATGCTGAGCCAGCTCTTTCCCCACATACTCGCTTCACACTGAAAATAAATGAGAATTGCATAAAATAGATTCAGGGGAAGCTGCGTGTGATCTTTGAGCACTCCTTCTTAACTCCCACTTGGCATGCTCTGAAAGGCAAACAGGAGTCATGTGAGTTTTAAATAACCTCCTCTCTTTCTCATAACTAAAAGACACACTGCTAGCAATAGCAGTCTAAAACTGGACAAATGGTTTCCATGATCTGAAATAGCCTGACAATGTACCACCTGTTCACTGCCCATCTGAGTTTTGGACTGCACTCTGGGATGCAGCGTCCTTCTCCACTTTCAGCAAGAAGCAAGAGAGGAGGGAACCAATGCCCAGCGCCAGACTCAACAAACATCTGTGAGCCAGTTCCAATTTTCTTTCTGCAGTACCTGAGTACCTTTGTTTCATACAGCTGAAGGACTTTTTATCTGTTCCAGAAACAGTCATTCACACCCCAGTCGAGACAGCACCTGGTTCTGAGCTATGATTGTTTACGACACCTTGTCAGCCCCTGTGATGACAGGAGCATTTTGTTATGGGCATCAGAATATCACAGGTCAGACTCTGCCAGCCATGCTCACATCAAACTGTGTACCTTCTTCTGCAAATAGTTACCTTGATGTCAGCGGGGTTATTCACAAAATCAATCATAACTTGATGCAAATAAATGCAGAAGCACCCAGCTCACAGATCCCTAACATGTCTGTATCAGAGCAGCACTGCTTGACCTGCTTTGAGGTGTCAAGCTTCCTAGGAGAGTCCTCTCTGCCAGAACAGGAGAGTACAAATTCTTTCTTAATAATAAGCTGGCGCAAACGCAGAACCTAATTGATTAATACAACGTTGACTTTCATCCCCTTTGTGGTGCAAATGAGCGGGCAGCCAGGTGCCAATAGATCATGCTGCTGAAGGGGTGATGTTCAGCACCGAAACCCTCTGCATCTGCTTGCACGCGACGTACGGACCTTACACAACCACAAGGTCACCCAAGACGTCTGAAACATCACTGAATGCTCTCAGTATAGGAAAATCCATGTGAATTCCACGGCTCTTCAGGTTTTTTTTTCCTTTTTGTATTACATCAGTGGCATGGCACATACTAACAGGCTTATCAGTCATTAAGTATTTATTTTTTATGTAATTTTGAACCATGCTGAGATGGAGAAAGCCATTTATGTTTAACACACATATACAAATAGGTCTTTCTCAGCTATTGATCAGTATTTAAAATCTTGCAGTGCAATGGCTTCTAACTTCTTTCAAATTTAATATTGATACATACACAGGTCTAAGAACCTCAATATTCATACTGAATAAATACACACAGCTACAGCAATCCATACACATGTCTGCATGTCTATACATATGCATATAAATAAATACACAGATACTTAAATAATTTATCAGTTTCTCTTTAATAATCACCTGTATTAACTAATACGTTCACAAAGAATGCACATTTTCTTTGTTATTTATACTAGCATTTTTAAAGGTACACAAGACCTTAACGTTACAGGACGTAATGACATGTGCTTTGATGTGAATGCAATTTTGTTTGTACAAAATAGCTAGTATGCACAAATCTGTGTTTGCTAGGCTGATTCACCATTACTGAGACTTCTGACCTTTACATGCCACTTATCTACTCTGACATGATTAATAAAGGAGTTGCAGTGAGTACAAGATAAATATTAACTCTTGCAAGGACAAGGCTGACTGAAAATTGAAACTCAAGTGACAGAGCACTGGAACAGGCTGCCCAGAGAGGTTGTGGAGTCTCCTTCACTGGAGACATTCAAAACCCTCCTGGACACGTTCCTGTATGATGTGCTCTGGGTGATCCTTCTCTGGCAGGGGGGTTGGACTAGATGATCTTTCGAGGTCCCTTTGAACCCCTAAGATTCTGTGATTCCTCCAGGCACCACACCTCCAAATACCCCCCCCCCAAAAGAAAATATTAGAACCGAAAAGGGAAAGCAAGCAACCTTAAAATTCTTTGGAAAACGCAAGTTGTAGTTTGAGACAGCTTACAACTGAAATAAAAGATAAAGAAAGCTCACAGAAATGATGGTAACTATAGAAAGTTCCTCACAGGAAGAGAGGATGAAGAGAACACAGAAGGGTTTTTTTAAGAGCAAGAAGGCATGCTGCATACAACTCTTCATAATATAAGAACCATGAATATGTAATGAAAAAGAAAGCTCAGAATAGAAAAATATTTGTTTACATAA